CAAATGCAAACATCTCGGCCATTTTGCCTGATGGTTTGTAGTTTCATATACGCAGAAACGATTGCCATTCGATATACTTACTGTGTGTACAAACTGCTTTATTAAAACCTGAACGCGCCCTTGTGGTCTCTCTCTCTCTCTCTGTCCTTCTTTGTGACCCCTCCCCCCACTCCCTCTCTAAGCCTCTCTCACTAGTTTTTACCATCCCTTAGACGATCTTTCTCCGTCGCACACGTTCGAGAGAAATAACAAATATTGCGTGCAAGATACGTTCGTTACTGCACGCAACCCGAGGTCACTCAGCTGACGATTGACGAATGGGCGATGGCGATACATTAGTGATTAGCATAGCATACGCTATAAGAAACCCCGCTCCCCGAGGAATACTAAAACGAGGTAAAAGCTACGCGCTAACATTTGAGTAAAGCGTTTAATTAAGTTAAGTCATAGGACGTTGCTTGGAAATGAAGAAGTGAATGGAGCCTTCTTGATTAAAACCTCAAAGCAGGGTACTCGGCGGTCTGGAAAGTTGGGAAAGTCAGGAAAGAGCGACGCCATATACGACCGTTTTTTGGCACAATTTGGATCCGCGAGGATTTTTCGGAAACCAGGCTCAAACAATACCTTAGGGTACTCTAAAACTCTGGTAAAAATTTTAGCTTGAGTGTGCGCACACATTTTGAGAAATAGGGTGGCAAAGTTGCCAAATCGTCATCATTATGGACAGCATTTTTACAGCAAAAAGACGGGAAAATGGACGAAAAAGTTACACCTTTGATGGTTTTTGGCGGTAAATGTTCATATTAGACCTCCGTGCATATAACTGAATTCAGTTTCAAAAATTCCGGTCGCACAGTGGTCCACAATGGGGAGAAATCGTGGACAAATCAGGATTCTTAGTCAAATTTTTATAAATGGAAGTAGAATTGTCGGTTTCCTGCAGTTTTCATGGCTCACAATGTTCTTATCGGTCCTCAATGCATTATATTATGTTCAGCTTCACAAATTTTCATCGCACAGTGGACCAAAATGGGGAAGCGGACGGAGCATTGTTGTGCGTCTCATCTTGTTGTGCGAGAAGCGCAGCCGAAGCTCCTTCAATTTTGCGTCTATGCAACGCAGGCATCCAGCGAGCATGGATATTTGTATCCTGGCGTTGTTACCAACGAACAGTGAGAAAACGGCTGATCTAACGATGGAAGATTCTTGAGCCTCGGAGGATCCTTCTTTTCATCGGTACCTTAACAATAATAAATTGGTTTTTCATGGCCAACGTGAATTGCGATGTATCGATTGTAACGCCATTAAAACCTATGGTAAAGAATCGATTATTAAGGTGTTCGCTGCGAACACCCTGTTCATCGATCCTTTTCCATAGGTTTAAATGACAGATCAATCGATATATCGCAAAGCACGCCACGACACTGCAGTTTTCCGTCCGCTTGCGGCGCCGCCCATTGGATGGAAAGTTGAATGAAAAGTTGAATGTGACGTCACATTCAAGTTTCGTTGAATTTTTCATCAAATTGTCGATTTTTCGGGTCGGTATCACACTATCCAACTTCTCATTCGAAAAGTTGCATTCAAGAGTTGAATGAAAAGTTTGATAGTGTGAAATGGGATTTAAGTGAATAATAATATCTTTTGAATATGTCCACGATATAATAGTTCCTAGCTCTTACCGCTGCTGTTATGCCCATTTCTTTCAGCTCACTGTCTCCATTTGCCAGTAATGATTATAAACGGAACTTTTCACTTGTTTTTAACCGTCCCGGAAGTATTATCTGGCAAAAGCCCACGGGAAAGAATCGAAATCAGTTCCTGCCCAACCTCAGAATTTTTTAGATGAATCGGAGCGGAACAGTTCCGAGCTCCGAAACCTCTGAACAAGTCATTGCTTAACACCGTCCGGTTCTGACTTGGCACGTATCCCGTATTGGTATCTCAAGTTAGTAGCATTTCCCAACCGGAAAATCGCTCTATATTTCGATTTTATCGGCGATAAAATTGCCGGGATCATCAACATCTGAGCGGTTATCCTCGATCTTATCGCGATAAACTTGCGCTCTTATTGCTCGACAATCTGTCGCGATATTTTCGAAGTAAAAATCGCGATAAATGGCGATTTAATCTCGATTTTATCGACGAAAATTGATCACGATTTTATCGTACCAAACATTGCGATTTGTTGCGATTTAATCGCTATATTTCGCCATATTTCGCTATATTTCGCAAATTTTAATGCGATAATATCTCGATATATTGCCACCGATATAATCGCGATAGCCAACCGATAAAATCGCTATTCATCGCGATCACTGCTACTTGGGATTTGTCAAAGTATCATCGTATCATCGGAAATAATCGTATTTGCTCGCTCATTATTTTAAAACCAGGAATTTAGGGATTTCGTCCGTGTTTCAAAAGTGAAACGGCTGCAAGTTTAGTTCTGTTTGTGGCGTTTAACGATCGCCTTTTACCTAATGTGCCAATCATGAGTAATCAATTCAGGCATTTCAGGCTTTCTTGCACACTACGTGTCTGAAATGGGATTCGAGCGGATTTCCGAAGAAATCGTTTGTTTTAAAATGTTATTTGATGAGGGTTGTGGATTCCTATACTCAGCTCAAACCTGAGCGAACAAAGGGTCTTAGACCTGTCGGCAACCGTAGTGTAAATATGACCTTTGCTCCGACCTATTTCACCATGTTGAAAACTTCTCGTCGATGGCGCACAGTGGATCGAGTTAATGAGAGAAATCGGACATGAAATTTTTTACTTAAGCTGCAAATTTTGATAGTTATTTCGTCATTTATTCAACTTTAAGGGATGCCACTAGATGACAATTTTACGAGAAAACCAATCAAACCACTTTTAGAACCTCAAAGGTTTGTATAAACGGAGTTAGAAGCGTTTAAAGTTTCCAAATTTTGTTCGACCTCTTCTATTGACTCGATCCACTGTGTGGCGGAGCGTAATGAGGTGTGCTCTCTCCGTCAAAACCTGTCTATGGCTGCTAATTTGCTCCGAGTCAGCAGAATCATCTCGTAGTAAACTGGGGAAGTAAGCCCATTCCGAGTAGCGAAGAACTTTAAAATATTCATGGTGTTTTTACCAATAAAAAATGCGTAAAAAGTATGTAAACCTCGCAAGGTCAACAGAAGAGCAGTTTTTTCACCTTAAAGATATTAATGAGCAAACAATAATTTTTTACCACAGCAAAATAGAAATGCTGCTGACCTTAGTGTGAAGCGTACATGATTTGCATGCATTTTTTGTCTAGAAAAATTCCTCACTATTTGAAATGTACGATTATCGCAACCACCAATTAGTGAAATTTTAGTTAGTTAACTGTATATGAGTTGTTCTCATTTATTTGGTTTTGAAAATGAAATTAAAGAGGCGGAACGTAATCAAAAGATTTATTGAAATCAAAGGATTTTTTCAGGGATAAATTTATCATTACGGATTGCGGAAACACAACTTGATGTCAGTAGATTTCAGGATATATCAATTCATATCAGCATTTACGACGGCGTGAGTCCGTAATCAAAAATCTCGTTTTCGGTGTCTAAAAATCTCCACCTCTATGCTATTTTTTTTTTTTTTAAGGAGAACAAATTGACATCATTCCTTGAAGTTTATGCAGAATTTTCCTCGCACAGAACTGAAAAATCACATCGGTTTTAAAGAATTGCCGTTGAGTAGTTTTCCGTTTAAAAAATGAAGTATGACGGGAAGTCTGCGACGTCGCAAACCGAGATATGTGATTGCCGACTTACACCGTCGAATTTGTTTCAACATTAGCTTTTGATCATTTGCACATGCATCTACAGAGAATTTTGAAGTAGAAATAAACCTCCTATCTACTGTGCAAATATGAAGGGCTCCAAAGATGTTTCTTCTCGAAACGCTCTTTCTGATCACTTACACGGAGGAAAAAAAACTCGTGCGTGGGACCCGAAGTTTAGGTCATATGGACCTCTGAAGTTTTCAGATTGAGCATCTGAACACTTTAGGTCTAGCTTCCGAGGTTCGGATCATACATCTGAAACTTCAGTTCTTACATCTGAGGTACTTCAGATGTGAGAACCGAAGTACTTCGGATGTGGGAACCGAAGTACTTCAGATGTAAGAACTGAAGTTTCAGATGTATGATCCGAACCTCGGCAGCTAGACCTGAAGTGTTCAGATGCTCAATCTGAAAACTTCAGAGATCCATATGACCTAAACTTCGGGTACCACGCACGAGTTTTTTTCTCCGTGTAGATTTATTTCGCAATATGACGTCCATTAAACTAGCGACGAAATGAGTACAAACGGAAGAAATTTTAGTCTTCCCCAAAATGCTATCGTAATATTTCAGCCGCTTCACATTGATGGCAATTCGTTCGTTTCACTCTTGCAAAATTTTGCAGTAGCCTTATTCTCAACTGAAACTTTGCAACGTTACATTGCAATTGAGCCTCTCCAGCTCTCATCCCTTCATTTCGTGCGTGGATCTCATACTGCCGTGCTGAGGTAAAACGCCGCATGAACCTCCAGGCGTTGCCAAATTTCCTTCGATAAAACACGAATATCATGGTAAGCTTGTGCATACCTTCCTTCCAATTTTTCAAATAATTTTGTTCGCAATCCCACTCGAATTTCCTGAAAATTTCAAGGAAAAATATTCATAACGTTCCGCGAAAATAAACATTTTACTTCAGGAAATTTGGCAATTCTCGAATGTTCGCACGGCGTTCTTCCTTAGCACGGCAACGAGGATAGCCGACACTTGCCGAAGTTATATAAACACGACAGAATCGGCGACCGAGCGGTGAACGACTTCGGTTCATCCATTGTTCGGCCGGTCCATGAATAGCCCCAAGGCACCAGGCGTCTGGGCAGGCGGCGTGGCGGGGGAGGGGAGGGCTGTCGGAGGGGTAGTTCAACCCTTACCTGATCTCCTACGCGCGCGCGTGGTATACCTGAAAACTGGTTTCGCATTTGAAGCATTGCAGTAGGGTGCTGTTTGCAGGTCATTTCCCTTTTCAGTCGAGGACGATTCCTCTTTGCGCGTTGGTCGCGGTACGTTCCTACGAGTGCGCCTGCAGATTTCTCGTTTCGTCGTGTCGGATTTCGAATTTCAGATATTTCACGCGAACAGGTCTTCTAAGTCTGTTGAAATAGAAATAGTGATACTTATCGCACCCGGTAGATATAGGAACTTTTTTTACTCTTTTGCAACTTTACCGGTGTTAAAACTCTAATCATAAATTATGTTTAAAGCGTAGTGGATCAAGAGATCTTCAGACCGTAGCATTCCTTGGAAAGTAGATCAAAACATTCTCGAGTGATTGACATTTTTAACGTGAAAGACGTTTATATGAAGGATATTCGTATATCGATAAGTATATCGTGAAAGACGGCTCTCTCATTTTGACTGATTTGTCACTGTGGTTTTCGGAGGATTTCATCGAGTTTATTGGTGGCGTTAGTCTATGTGTTTCCAAAAGTGGCTTGTCTCGTTCCATCACTTGGAGATAATGTTCAAGTTCAAGCTTTTTCGACACGCTCATTTTCTGTTGTTTTACTTGAGTATCTTTCAGGTAAGTCTTTTTTTCATCCCCTGCCCATTAAACTTTCATTCCATCGTCTCCTCCTTCCCTTATTCCGTCCTGGTCTTGCTGAAGGGGCCATCCATTTATGACGTCTGGGTCCTAATAAGGGGGGGGGGGCGCAGGGGATTAAGAAATGTGACATAAGGCTTAGCCAAACCTGACGTCAGTCAAGTCAGTGGCGTGTACAGGAGGAGGGGACAGGGGGTTACAAAATAAACATCAAAATTCGCAGCTTTAGTCAAAAATTTCGTGTCCGACCTCTGGAGTCGACTCGATCGACCGTGCGGCGTCGGTTCAGATCAGCTCGGACAGAGAGCATTCATAAATTACGTGACGCACTTCGGCTGCATTTTTGACACCCTCCCCCACGTTCCCTCTGTATAACGCTACACTGCCGTGCTAAGGAAGGAAGAACGCCGTATGAGCCTTTAGGCGTTGCCAGATTTCCGTATATAAAACACGATTTTCCCCGCGTAAACTTATGAATGTTTTTCTTCAAATTTTTCGGATTATTTTGTTCGCAATTTCACCCAAGATCCTGAGAAACTCAGGAAAAAATGTTCATTCATACATTTCCTCAGGAATTAAAATTTTAGTGAAGAAAATGTGGCATCTCTCGAATGTTCATACGGCGCTCTTCCTGAGCACGGCAGTACACAACGCAACCCAGAATCACCCCCCCCCCCCC